ACTGGTGTTTAGCAATGATATTAACCACACATTAACCACATAACAGGTGTGTCAAACTGGTGTTTAGCAATGACATTAACCATATAACAGGTGTGTCAAACTGGTGTTTAGCAATGATATTAACCACACAACAGGTGTGTCAAACTGGTGTTTAGCAATGATATTAACCACACAACAGATGTGTCAAACTGGTGTTTAGCAATGACATTAACCACATAACAGGTGTGTCAAACTGGTGTTTAGCAATGACATTAACCACATAACAGGTGTGTCAAACTGGTGTTTAGCAATGATATTAACCACACAACAGGTGTGTCAAACTGGTGTTTAGCAATGACATTAACCACACAACAGACATGTCAAACTTGTGTTTAAAAGTTAAAATCAGTGCAAACCTTTTTTTAAAGATATACAGGTCTCAACCTATAAAGTTAGTTTATATTCCCTTGGAAACTGTGGTAAGGGTTTACCAGACAAGGTACTTTGTTGCACTGTCTTGGGAAGGGGTTCTAAGGATACCAACTTGATAACAGTCATCTTATTATTACCTGTTTTACCATACTTCTTGGGTCTACACACACACAGATTATATCACCAGGTCTATATAGAGAATTGAAGAATATAATCAATTTATTAAATATAATACTTTAGGTTCATGTATGGTACAAGTCATTAAGAATATGATAAAATTTACTCTACGAGTCAATAACTTACCTCTTTCATTAAAGATTTCAAGACTTGTAGTTCTTCTATGTACATCTGTTTTTCTTGCTGTCCATTTTTCAGTTCATCTTTTTCTGGTGGCAGATTTCCTGAGGAAGCTATATGACTTTGTAAATGTTTATGTTCTGTCAAGGAAAGAACCTATAACAACACAAAAAGAAAACCAGTATCAAAACAAAAGGTTTCAAGCAGGGTGAGTATCAAGAAACTTCACGTGTTAACGGCTGATGATACGATAATTTTACACATAGCATTAAACTATTAGCTACAATATAATATGAACACTATCAGCATGATGTGCGTTTCCCATTGCTTTCCTTCTAAATGGTATTAACATAATCAACAGGTTTTAAGCTAGTAATGACATAGTAAGTAGTAAAAACTCGACTACTGTAACTAAGTAAACAACAGAAATCTGTGATATTAATAACGTAGGAATACTCCACTTTATTCTACTTTCTATAACCTTTTTTTTATATACACTAATAAATTTTTTATTATTTTAACCTACAACAAAAGTTCAGTGATTTACACACGTGAAGATGAAGTTACAGATTTTATGTTGTGAAGTTACAAGACTTACTTGTGTCCCTTCAATATACACCTTCTGCAATAACTTCTTTATTTCAGGAGGTAAAAGTCTGTCACTTTCAGAGCTGTAGTCTGACGCTGGGTTACCACTCTCACACTTGGATCTACCATCACTGCTACTAGTGCTGGTTTCCCTGTATGGATTTGGTGAATCCTGTTTTGAGCCTGGAACAAATAAGCCCTTTTTGTAGTACTATAACATGAAATTATTACATAATTTTACAAAAACTAAGATTATGTAACTTTTACATTATTTTCAATTAATATGTTTATTGATTATAAGAACGTATCAAACGAACAGTTTCTACAGTTCCTTATAAGGGACATGTCAAAGACACTATTATGTATATTAAAGCAGAAAAGCTACCTGAAGCTACCACGTATGACAATGGTAACATAAGTGAGAAGTTCAAACTTCCGGTTAAAGAATTTGTCCATCAAATACTTCCTTTTGAGACACAGTAATTGCTTTAATATTAAATAATTTTACCTGATAATAAACCAACACACTTAACAAAAATTCTAAAGTATGTACAGAGTTCCAGACAATTTTTTTTCCATGATCAGTAAGGTACTGATCAAATTTTGCCTCTATCAGTATATGCCAAAGGTGGTCAGTAATTCGGTATCTGTATGTTCGTGTAAGTAGCAACCAAATCATTTATAAGAGTTTGAATGTATCAGTGTTATTTTATTGTGTATTTGGCCTCAAGAAAGTACAAGAAAACAGATTTGACTTTCTTCTAATTTTAGCACTGTTCCACATTTTAATTGCAAGACTGAGATCATACAATGAAATTTTTGGGCCTAACATTACAATTATCATCAAACAGTATCTTTTACTCCTTCACAGAGCCTCTGAACACAGTACTGTTAATAAAGAATAAGTTTACTTACTTAACAATAACATTGAATACACTCAAAACAGCCATACACTCTACAAAGTTAATCACAAACATATTTGCACAAGTAAAATACACCACATACAAATCTGTTAACTCAAGAAGTGTGATCACTGGTTTAAAACCATTTTATTATGATGTATCTTAGATTTACCATTACATAATTCAAAATCAGGATAAAAATATAAACATATTCCCCATTTTTTTTAGTCACAACAACTCTTAAAGATCAACTTACTTCTGAGGGCTTCCCTTAAGTTTTCTATCTCTTCTTGGTGGCTTCTCTGCATGGCAGACTGGTTTTCCTCAAGTTGTTGCAATAGATGTGTCTCTAGGTTTTTCATCTCTTCTTGATGTATCTTTTCTCTCTCTCTCTCTTTCATCTCATGTTGTTCTTCAAGCTTTTGAACACTTTCCTGGTGTTTGTTTTCTAACTGTTCTCTTACAGACTTTAATTCACTCCATGCTTTCTCTCTCACTTCTCTCATTTTACTTCTGTGAGTTTCTTGCATGATGTCCCATTCCTCTAAAAACCTTCTTTGAATTTGTTCCTTTTCATACCTCAATTCATCCTCATATTTTTGTTTGTACTTCAGGCTTTCATGTTTTATTTTCTGTTTATATTCTTCTGCAAGTTTCTGTAATTCAAAACTATGAACATGACTTAGCGATTGTTTTTCAGATTCAAGAGTGCTGGCAGCAGCCTTTTTGGCACGCTCTGACTCTTCTTCATACACTAACCTGAGGTTATTTTTCATGTCTTCAAGAGATTTCTCATTGTTTTTTCTAACGTTATTAAGCTCCTCAGCATGAATCTCTTTCATTTTCATCTTTTCATGTTCAAACCGACTAAAGAGGTTCTTCTTGGTCAGTTCAATTTCTTTGCTATGAACTTCTTGAAAATCAGACTTTTCTGCTTCCTGACGTTTCCTCGTGTCTTCCGACACCTTTTGTATGTGTTCCTGATGAATCATCTGTAAAGCTGGTAGATCCATCTGGTACTTACTAGCTATACTTTCCTTTAATTGATGCAATTCATCTTCATATCTACGATGAAGATTCTGTTGCTCAACCTCAAATTTCTTTTCCCAATTTTCTTGTAGATATCTAATGTTGTCTTCATGATTCTTCTGCAACATTTCTTTTTCACGATGAAAGGTATCTTCTAAAGTCTTTCTAAGTGCAGCAATATCTTCCTGGTGGTAGTCATTTAGATGTTTCCTCAGGTTTTCAAGAGCAGAATGGTGCAATTTTGCAGAAGCCTGTAGCTCATCTTCGTGACGCTTTTTCAATGCCTGTTTCTCGTCAGAATGCGATTGCTTCATCATCTCAATGCGCTGGTTCCAAGAACTTTCCATCTTCTTTATTTCTTCTTCTTTGTCTATTTCAAACTGGTACTTCAATTTATTTTCTATTTCTGAAGTTTTCATTTTATGGTTTAACTCTAGCTCCGATTTATCTTTCTTGAACTTGTCCCTGATTTCAATTTCAAATTCCTTCATTTTATGTTGCAAATCTTTATTAACCTTCTGACAATCTTCCTCAAATTTCTTTTGCCAGGACATCTCTGCTTTTTGGAGTTGCTCCTGGTGAACACTTTCTAGCCTCTCTCTCTCAGTTTCAGCAACTTGTTTTAGAATTTCTGCAGAGAGCTCAGATGGCAATATCTTACTCTTCTCTACATTTTGTTTAAAGGATGACAACATTTCCTGAAAAAAAAAAAAAAGAAGATCACATAAACCTAAAAATAATTTCAGGCAGTCGATTCTGAAGTATAAATTTAAAATATTTAAAGAGTGTAAAAAAAACAACGTATTTCACTAACTCATATGTACTTTAAAAATTTGGCTTCCACATTAAATTTTAGAACCTAATAATTCTAATTATCAAATCACATTCTTTCAATCATATAACAGTTTCATAAAGTATTTTGCACATAAGAAGAACAGGATATTACGTAGCTTTAACAATAAATTAAAATCCTGTAAACACAAGTAATTCATATCTAAATAAGTTATGTGTCATAACCCATATGACAGTTTTATAAGAAAAGTAGGTCTTAGCTCGAACACTTTTAGCTTTATTGGATTCATGTAACTTAATTAATAATAAATATTAATCTTTTTTACTTATAAGATTTTAAGATTAATATGGAAATTAAAACACACATTTCTAATTATGAAAGTGTTGCCAGTCCTTAGAAGAATATGTTTTATTTGATAGTTCGTGTTTACGTTAGTATTACTGGCCAACTGGATGATATAGATGTAATTTTGAGAAGTAAATTAAGGCTTTAATATATTTTTACACTCTGTAGCAAAGCCTAAAACATAGTATTTGTCTATTAGTTTCATTAAATTTGTTAAAACTGAGTTCAGAATATTCGTTTGACATTAATATAAATTAATAACATTTTATATAAGAATAAAAAAGATTTTATTTCTGTAAGAGAGTGTTTATATATTTTTGTAAATATTACTTAATATGCTTTATAGTATTAAACACCTTAAACTGAGAAATAAAAAATAGATTTGTTCAATGTGTTTTACTCTGATGTCTTCTTGCAAGTTGGAACATGTACTAAAAAATAAATCACATTTTCCCCCATTCAACAATTTACTACACATTTTGTAAAAGTAACTCAAAAAATATGATGCCCATTGGCATTAATGGCAATTCTTGGATTAAATCCTTTATTATTAAGCAAAAATATTATTAGAGTTCATTACATATATAGTCTTTAATATGAGTTTGAAGTTCTAAAAAGGCAGTAGTTTAGTTTGTAATGAGTCACATACGTGTTCAGGAAACACACTGGATACTCCGTTAAACTTCACAACAGCAATAAATATCTTGTAGCTGGCAATTAAAGGCACTCGAGCAATAAATATCTTGTAGCTGGCAGTTAAAGGCACTAGAGCAATAAATATCTTGTAGCTGGCAATTAAAGGCACTCCAGCAATAAATATCTTGTAGTTGGCAATTAAAGGCACTAGAGCAATAAATATCTTGTAGCTGGCAATTAAAGGCACTCGAGCAATAAATATCTTGTAGCTGGCAATTAAAGGCACTTCGAGCAATAAATATCTTGTAGCTGGCAATTAAAGGCACTAGAGCAATAAATATCTTGTAGCTGGCAATTAAAGGAACTCGAGCAATAAATATCTTGTAGCTGGCAATTAAAGGCACTCAAGCAATAAATATCTTGTAGCTGGCAATTAAAGGCACTAGATGGCATAACAGCAACAATACAATAAGGAAAAAATGATTTTCACTTTACTAATTCCCTTAGTCTTTATTTCATACCTTGGAAAACATGTTAGCTCAACTGTTAAAAGGTATTTTATAGCAACATGAATTAGTTTTAGAGAACAAACCCTTAACTACAAAGAAATAATTTAAGATTTTTAGATGTTCTTCTGTAACTTAACATTTATAAAAAGTACTACCATCAACTGGGTTGTAATTTTCTCTAGCCCTGGACTTTCTGCGTCTCGACTGACAAGTTCTTCTCTCAGCTTCAGCACTTCCTGCCTCAAAATTTCTTGGGTATGAGAATGACCATGGCTTAACGTCTCTAGTTCTTTCTTCAACTGAGCTACTTCATTTTCGTGATCTTTGTGGACCATGTCAAGATGTTCATTTAGTTGTTCCACTTCACGTGTTAGCTGTTCTCTCTGAATAGCATTCCCTTGCTTCTCCTCCTCTAATAATTTCTTCAAAGTTAAAATTTCGCTTTCCAGTTTAACCTATGAAAATTGTAAAGTTTTATGATATTAAAATATCAGTCTAGTATGTAGTCTAAACAAAGTGTAGGAACAGTGTTAAAATAAATTTTAAAAAAATCTTAATAGCTTATGAAATAATCAAACATCTATAATAAACTAAAATTACATTAAAACACTTTTCTAAACATGTTGACGTGAAAAAAAATTAAGTCGGACCACAAACAAAACGTTTGAGGATCACTGGTTTAAAGTCATGTATATAAATTTTTTCAATACACCGGCAGCTGATTTAGAAAATAGAATACACAAAAAAATTACAGAATAAATATCTTTTATTATATCCTAAAAGGTGTAAACAAAAATAATAACAATAATAAAGTATAATATACCTCATAATAAGCATGTCAGAATTATATTTTTGTTTAAAATTTTTATATTTAAATTATATAAAATATAAACCTGGTACTTCAAAGAAGTTGTCTAGATCAAGAGTTCCAAAATACAGACCCCTGTTTAGGGACCACAGGGAAGTGACTGGGATAGGGAGGGGGTCATACCAAATACTGTTAAGATAGTCACTATCTATAGATTCATTGGGTGGGGCCCCAGTCAAGATAGAGAATGTTGTGAAAAAGTTTGGGAACCCCAGGTCTAGGTCACAAATTAGTGTCTAATTTAAATATTCACATTCAATGATGAGGAATCCACTTTGAGACTAATAATGCTTGGAGATGGCTTGAATGGGTGATTAAGCCTCACAGTAACAACCTGAGTTTTTTTATTTATTTATTTTTTATTACTCAAGCTTTTAAACATTAAACACACAATTCATCAATAAAATAATTATTGTAATCAATGAACAACTCTAAGTCCTGTTTTACTCCACTGTTAGATAGCATGAATGAAAAATGTACACAACTTAAGTGAAAAGTCTTTCTGTACCTTTATGTGTTTAAAGAAAGTTAGTGTGTGTTCTATAGAAGTGAAACCAGCAAAATCGTCATTGACATATTTGTACCAGTATAGTGGGGGGATGAAGCTCAAGAATTACCCACACCTGGACAAAACTAGCCATTAAACACAATATTCCTGTCAATGTCAAATTCTCATAAAAACCCGGCCCTAAATTAAAATCATTACTACACAAAAATTATTTAGAATCACACAATATCAACGTCATTTACAAAATAACATGCAATAACTGCCCAGAATTCTACATCGGAGAAACAGGAAGAAAATTGGAAACCAGATTCACAGAACACGATACAAAAACCGTCCCATGTTTTCCACCATTGCAACTC